CTGACTGGACATCATCTCTTGTTATAATTAAAAAGCAAGATAGAAGCTATAGAATAGCATGTGATTATACTAAGCTAAATAAATACACAAAAGATGACCCTTTTGAAATACCCTATATAAACACCTTTTTACAAAAAATAGCTTAGTATAAATACTATGCCACAGTGACTTTAAAGCTGCGTATTATTAATTCTCTTTACCAGAAAAAGAATGAGATAAAACAACAGTATTCTTCCTAACTAAAGGACAATATAGATGGACTGTACTATCTATGGGATTAAAAACAGCACCTGCATATATGATGAGATATATGTACAAAATTTTCTCTCACTTACCATTTGTAGCAGTATATATGGATGATGTAACAGTATTAGCAAATAGCCCAGAAAAACTCTTGAAAAATCTCAAAATGGTATTCGAGAGCATAAAAAGAGCAGGCATGGTATTAAAATATTCATTCTGTTTAACAGAAACAAAAATTTTGAACCACCTAATTTTATATGAAAAAATACAATCTAATCAAGTCAAAAAAGAAGAAGCTAAAAAATTAAAAATTTCAAAGGATATAAAAGGAGTACGACAGTTTACTGGATTCATGAATTACTTTAGACAATTTATTAAAAACTTTTTGAAAATTGCAAAACCAATTTATAACCTTTTAAAGAAAGATGTACTAATTAAATGGACACCGGAATGTCAAAATGCATTTGACTAACTTATTAACTGTATAAAAAACACTATAGCATTGACTTATCCTAAACCAGGATACTAATTAATAATAGAAACAGATACATCAGATAGCTCTATAGACACAATACTTAAACAAGTAAACCCTGAATTAATATATTACAAAACCAAGATAAAAACACTTGAAGATAAAGAAGATTATTGGACAAAATCTCAAGAAAAAGTAATAGAATTTGGATTAATGAATCTAACTTTATCCCAACAAAGATGGGGAAGTACACAAAAAGAAATATTTGCGATATACACATATCTTATGAAATGGAAACTATATATAGGAACAAGACACATTATAGTACAAACAGATAATACAGGAACAATTCTAAAAGAAGGAAAAACACCAAATAATTCAACCATATAAAGATAGCTTATAGAACTACAAGATATGAGATATACAATAGAATGAATATCTAAAAAAGATAATACAAGCACAGATTGGTTATCATGACATTTAGGACAGGAAGAAGGCAAAGAAAATATCCTGCTAAACCTAACGATAGGACTAAAACAAGAACTTCGAAAAGATTTCAGACCAGAAAAAGTAGAAAAAGAAAATAGTGATAAGGCAAAATCTAACATTTGATTTATTAATCACTATAGTTACCATCAGAATAAGGAGTACAACTCTGACTATAATCACAATAATTATACATTAAATCATCTACAGTATTTAAACAACTACAATATATAAAATTACAATCCTTACATCTACTGGCTTCCCAATCAAAGCTAGGATCTAAATTCATAAATAATTTATCCTTATCCTTAGAAATCTTGACCTCTGACGAAAGACTATTAGAAAAAGAAGAATTAGAGTAAGAGCATAACTCATTACCCTTAGAATCAAGGAAACCACCTTGGCAAAAACTGTTATCTACTTGAATAGTTTTGAAATTATTTAAAGAAGAAGTAGTTTCCTAATCGCAACCATTGCTGGGAACACTATATGTATTGGTATCGATAAAAAGAATATAATCCGTAAGGAACAGGCCAAGAAATATTTCTTTTTTGAACCAATAATGATCGAGAACCTCTTTAAATGAATGATCTTTAAAGTCATCATCATTGTAGATAAGCTATTTGAAAGAATTGATATCGAATTCGAAAGAAGAATCATAAACCCGAATAAAATCAAAAGTAATATCCTGAAGAAAAGGACCAATATGGTAACCACTATAAGTATTCTATATATGTTTTACAAGAGAATATGAGATGAAAACCTCACTAGTATAGATATCGATATAGAAATGTTCATAGTTAACAATTGAAAGATTATTTAAAGACATTTGTGTAAAAAAGTTATTGTTTAAAGATATAATTGGAAGTACTATCAGTTAAGGTTTGAACTAGAAAAAGTACTGAACTTAATTCCAGATATTAACTGTTTTTATAAGAAATTGAGTAATACAAGGTTACACTAATAAACTTATAAATACAACCTTACGTGTATCAGAAAAATGATAAGAGAAGGTGCTTAACTCAACTTAAGTAACCAATCAAATAAGATTATACCGCACGTTGGAACCATATTGTTGGATTAATCTTTACGAAATAACAATGTGGATAATACAAGATTACTCAAGCGAATATTTACTAGAAATATATTGGGATACACAAGGCCTATTTGGATTCGACAATTTTATCACTAAGTTAGACAATTATTAATCACGTAAACAAAGATGACCCATACACTATCATATTACGTGCTACAAAGAATCTTAGAATCAGAAACGTGAACTATCGAATATTTACAAGATAAGAAAGTGCTACTACAACAAATGAAATGCCCACAATGTGACCAAGATATGACTCTTAATCATACTTTATTTAGCTATACAAAACGCATGTGTAGAAAAAGCATATCTATCTTTAAAGATACAATATTCTCAGAATCAAAGATTCCACGTAACAAGTTATTAACGATTGCCTATTTATGGATAATCAGATATAAACACCAATCAATACACGTATTCACAGGAATGTCACAACAACAATTACACAATGGCTAAAAATATTTAAGGAATTAGTAAGCTTTAATCTTGAAGAAAAATATCAACAAATAGATAGAAAAGATATCATTGTAAAATTAGATGAATCACGATTTGGAACACAAAAAACATGGGTATATAATGAAGAAACAAATGAATTTAAAATAAAATTAAACTATATATGGGTATTTGGAGGTATAGAACATACACCCCAATCTAAGATATTTGCAATGATCGTAGAAAATAGGTCAGCAGATACTCTGCTGAAACAAATAGAAAAACATATATATTCTCAATCAATTATTTACTCAGATATGTGGTCAGGTTACCAAAATATTTACTTATGGCTAGAGAATGCAGTCAATCATTCGAAAAGATTCACAATGATTGAAGAAAGTGAAATCTCAACACAACCAAAAGTGTACCACACAAACACAATTGAAGCATATTGGCAAGTGATCAAAGCAAAAATACTGCCAAGAGAATGCAGATACTTATTCTCAGAACTACTAGTCTATATTTGGAAAAAACAAAACCCTTATGATCAATTTGAAGCCTCTATCAAAATGTTTACAAAATACAGCTAAATTAAGTACTACAGGAACTGAATCAGAAGAATCAGAAGACATTGATAATAAAACATAAACAAATAAAATTTAAGAATTCAATGCCTAAAAAACAAATTAGAAAACTATAGAAACCAACAACTATTTAAAGACCCTGAAAAAGACTCCAACTCCGACAGAAAAAGTTACCTACCGGAAAAACAAAAAGAACCCTAAAAAAGAAACAATGTCAAGAACCTGATCCATCAATAACTCCTAGAAAAGAACTGAACCTGACAATTGCACTAATTGCAATTATCCTAGGTTACCTGGTCATAATTGCTTACTCAATCCAAGCAATCCTAATGCACTTAAACGATTTACGAAAAATCAAAGAATAAAAGAAACAATCAGCCCAGAAATGACTCTTGAAGAAAAATTTAGAATCTGGGACAACACTCCAAGATAAGAGTATCCATTCTGCGAAAAAGTATCTATACTTGATCAACATAATTGCTCAAAAAAAATGAAAGAAAATTCGACAAAGACTTCTTACTATACTTTCACCGAAAAACAACGTGCGGAATCTGCTTCAAAACAGGACATCCTAATTCATATTGCCAAATAGTAACTTGTAAAATCTGTGAAGAAAAGAGCACATCTCTAAGAACTATCCAAATAAACCTAACACTACTGAAGAAATGAAAAACTACTGGAAACAAGAAGAACCAGAAAAACAACTACTGTTATCACCAAGAATTAAAGAAAGATAGCAACTTACTTGTAAACATTGCTTCCAAGACTACCACCAAGAATATCTATACTACAACCTTCTTGAAGCACAATGCATCCAAACATGTAGATGCAACCAGAAAAAAGTAATGAACAAAAGAATTTACCAATAGAAAATACTTGGAAATAAATCATACCAAGAAGTATACAACTCACTAACCTATCATTGCTGTAGCTGTCAGCAACCCATTAGAAAAAATGACCATTTCATATTAAATGACTTTGAAGTAATCAACCTCGATAATGTAAAGAAATATTATAAAGAAATATTACTTTGCAAAACATATTACCATACCCAATTCGAAGAATTAGAAATTAATGATCCAAAAGCAGAAGAATATTACAAAAAAGAAGGAATTAATAAACTAACCGAATGCAACTTCTGTTGCAAACCAATTAGAAAAAGACAAGGCTACAAACTCTGGAACACAGGACAATATATGTGTTGTCTAGAAGAAATGATAGCATTCATGGTCTATGCAGAAATAACTGACAGACCAACATACCACACTCACCAAAGAATCTACCATAGAACAAGATATGGTGTATATGCAAGTAAAAGTATCAATGAATCAAAAATTTATAGCCTAATTGCCTTAATTAAAGAAGAAAAAACTTTACTCGATAAGAAAGGAATTCTTAAACAATATAATCACAAAACAATACTTTTACAAGAAAAAAAAAGTAATACTATTCATAAATAGCATATAACCCATTACAAATGATCAGAAATGATTATATCATTCTATGATGAATTGGATAACTAATTTAATGATTTAGATGAACCAATCACTGACCAAGATATAATCTTGGAACCTGAAGAAATTAATAATAAAGAACAAGATCAAGTCATAGCAGATATTGCTACTCAAAATCTAGACTATGATTATAAACCCAAAGAACTAGATGCCAAGAAATGAAAAGAAAAAACAGCTCGATATAAAATATACGATAAACTACAATTGAATATCAAAGAAAAAGAACTTTGTACTGAATGCAAATACCCTTATAACGAAAAGAATTAATAAGTGGATATTGTAACAGATGTTACCAAGAAGTCACTAAATATATTGGTTGTAAACAACCAACACCCGTGAAAACACTAAAAAATACAAAATGTACCATTTGCTTCCAAATGGAAGTAGAAAACCAAAGAAAACAAGAAAAGGATTAAATTCATGAAATCGAAAAAGAAGAATTCATACCAAATAAAAAACTCAAAGTAACTACTGAAATTAAAGAATTTAACTTTGAAAAAATTGAAAGAACTGAGATAGAACAAATAAAACAAGAAATAACAAACCTAAAAAAATTAGCTATTGAACAAAGCGAAAATATAAAATACCTCGCTGAAGCAATAAAAATCTATCAAGAAATAAATAACACACTTCACCTCGAAAATGATGAATTAAAAAGAAAACTTGAAGAGCATTGAGAACACGATTACTTAACAAAACTTAGACAAATAACAACTTGAAGAAACCAAGCTGTAGCAGAATTTGTAATATTAGGACAAGAATATCCTGAAAAAA